AAACCCTCGAAAAAATAGTGTTTTTTTCCCGCGTAAACGCGAATCTACTATGAATTAGGGTTTAGGGTTTTATATTAATATTTATTATGATTTATGATGATTATTTATGATTATTATTTATGATTAGGGTTTATGATTAGGGTTTAGGGTTTACCTGAATAGGTAAGGCAAAAGGCATGCCATTATCTAATTTTCTTTGATCTGTTCTTAGCTTAGATGCAGCAACCATCTTCATTGCCTTAGTTATCTATAAATAAATAAATAAATAAATAAATAAATAAATAAATAAATAAATATAAATAAATAAATAAATAAATAATATAATTAATTAATTAATTAATTACCTTCTCTATTGTTTTTATTGATTTTATGCGAGCACCAACAGCCTTTAAATCTCCAGACCCAAACCCTCGTTGCTGCTGCTGCTGCTGCTGCTGCTGCTGCTGCTGCTGCTGTTGCTGCTGTTGCTGCTGTAGGCAGCCGAATCCTCCATAAGGAGAAGGGAGGAAACGAGAGGAGGGTACACAAGAGGGGGGGGCCTTGCGTGTACAGCAGGAGGGGGCCCCCATGGATATACAGCAGGAAGGGGGGCTCCGGGGTATTATTCTTAAGGAGGAGGGGGCCCCCATCGGTATAAAGGAGGAGGGGGGGCCCCTGGGTATTATTAAGGAGGGGGGCCCCCCCATGGATACACCGGAAGGTACCCTGATGGTTTTATGCAAGGGAATAGCCATTTTTATTTAATAAAAAAAGAAGAAAAAGAAGAAAAAGAAGAAAAAAGAAGAAAAAAAGGAGAAAAAGTAGAAGAAAGGAATGAACTAATCTTGAGGTGTATAGGCAGATAGGCAGACACCGCAGCAGCAGCAGCAGCAGCTGCAGCAGCAGCAGCGGCAAGTTACACCTTAATATACTAACAAGAAATAAATATAATTTATTATAATTTATAAATAAAATTAAATTATAATTAAATAAAATAATAAAAGAAGAAGAAGCAACAGCAGCAAATACACCGCAAGCAGTACAGCTGTACGGTGTCTGTACACCTCAGCTCACTCATGCAGCAGCAGCAGCAACAACAGCAGCAGCAGCAGCAAGAAGAAGAAATATATTATATTAACCTCTTCTCTCTTCTTCTTGCTGTCCTTCTTTTTATTTTCTTTTTATTTCTTTTATTTATTTAATTAACACACATATCTTGCTGCTGCTGCTGCTGCTGCAGCAACAGCAGCAGCAGCCCCAAAAAACCGTGCATGCAATCAGCAGCAAAACAGCTGCCTTCAGCAGTAGCAGCAGCAGCAGCACCACCACCAAGACACAGCATACTGCATGAATAATTTATCTATATATTTATAATTAATTAGTTAATTATTTTTTTTTTTTTCTTTTTATTTATATAAAAGAAAAAAACCCTAATAAATAATAATATAACAACAGCAACCCCACCCAATAAACACACTCCTCCTCCTTATATATATTCTTATATATATTCTTATATATATATATATATATATATA